AAGTTTTAACCTTATATTTTTAAGTTTAATATAAAAAAATATTTAAATTAGAATCAAAATTAATTTTTAGTGTTTAAAAGAATCTTATTAATCTAAAATAAATATAATATAGCATCTATTCGTAGATAGTTCTTCACCCTTTGATATTTTTAATGTTCGAACTCAAAATCTCAAAAAAAATAACAATAATTTTTTATCACTACATGTCGTTTAGTTCGTCCAATTTTAAGAAATAGGGTAAACTACATATTTAGTATTTAAACTATTACTTTTATTCTGTTTTAGTTCCTAAACTTTTAATTTTTTAAAATTATACCTGATGTTTACTTTTTGTTTCATTTCAGCACCCTTCGTTAACTTTTTGTTTCGTTTTAGTACCCCCGTCGTTAACTTTTGGTTTCATTTTAGTACCTAAATTTTTAACCGTAGGGGTACTAAAATAGAAAAATAACTAAATGTTACGTATAGTTTTGAAAAAATGAAAGTTTATGTATTAAAATAAAAACAAAATAATAGTTTAGGTACTAAATGTGTACTTTTCCCTAAGAAATATTGAGTTTAATAGATGGAGACAGTAATTTAATATGTGAGGATAAAGAGATGAGAAACCAATTAAGAAAGCGCAGTTACGTTGCAATCAATCGGTTGCTGTTTTATGCTTTAAAATTCAAAGGATTAGGAGAAATATTAATTTAATATAATATTTTTTTAAGAGAAATAAAAAGCAGAAGAGGAGACGTCATTTGCGTAAGCAAAGGCAAAGACGTGTCATGATAACATTAGTATTTGAATTTTACAAAATAAGTACTTAAACTATACCTAAATTTTTTAATAGGTGCTTAAATTATTTTTTGATCCATCCAAGTGTCTAAAGTTACAAACGTTATTCATTTAGGTTCTCAGGCCGTCAACAACATTAAGTCACACATGTCACAAACTGGTGATGTTGAAATTTATTTTTTTAAAATATTATTATATTCATATAAAAAACATTAATTTCTCTCAAATTACATAAAAAAGCCCTATAATAACTAAAATACCCAAATCATATCCTTAATCTGTCGTCGTTCCCCTTTTCGGCCACGACCACCACTACGGACATAGTCCTTGCCATCCTCCTAGTTAAACGACACCATAGTTGTCGTCGACTGTCCATCGAGATCGCGTGGGCTCACGATTTTCATCCTAGGGTTCGCGGGGTATTTAACGTCGATTCGTCGTCGATCTGTCATGATTTCATGGGAGTTTTGGTCGCTTGGGAGAGATGAGGTCAGGCGGAGCTTCGTCAATGGCAAAGAGTGATGGTTGGCGTGGGTTTCGGGGTTGAAATGAAGGTTTTCAAAGTTTTTAGGGTTATTTCAAAATATTTTTGTTTTTCTTTAAAAATATACATAATTTTAATTTTTTAAAATTTTAAATCAAAATTTTAAAATCACCAAATTGTGACACGTGTCATTTAACAAAAAAAATTAACGTCGTTGACGGTTCGAGCGCCTAAATGGGTAATGTTTGTAATGTTAGGAACTTGAATGGGTCAAAAACAGTTCAGACACTTATTCGAGAATTTAGGTATGGTTTGATCACTTATCTTGATATCGAACTTTTTTAAAAAAAATGCTTAAAATTATAAATCAACCGAGTTTAAAGTGATAATGAAATGAAACATTAAAGATATATTTTGATAAAAAAAATATTAGATATCTAAAATAATATATATATATATATATATATATATAATATATATATATATATATATATATATATAATTATGTGCTTATTTTTTAATTAGATTTATTTTAAATAACAGGGATTAGAATTGATACTTTTGATGTTCACATTTTTTTGGATAATTAACAACGTGATTTTCGACACACGACAACTTCGAGACAAATCTAATGTCCGATAATCAGTTTGCTAACATACAAATAACTATCATGATTGTATAAAATTCATCAACCAATATTTAAGAGAGAGGAGCTTCTTCCTCCACTTCTCTTCTTATCGGGATACAGAGAACATCGTTTGTTTTCTTGAATCGATTATCGATCAAAAATTAATCAACTATAATTCTTCGTCTAAATAAAAATCAATAAATCATTTATAACCGTAACAACCTAAATGTTAATATCGACAACAACTATAGTATCGATAATCAAACTGAATTCGTAATGTTATTTGAAAAATGAACTCACAAAAGGGGAAATATAAGCAAAATATAACAACCATTAAGTTTTGAGTATTTGCCAAGTTATTTCCTCAAAGGCTTGATATAAAAATAAGTGCTTAAACTACACTCAAAATTAACTTTTTGCGTCCAATGAATTTTTCGTTAAAAATATGTGATTCCGTTACACTTTTAGGTATCTACCGTTAAAAAATCATTAAATATCACGTGTCATGTCCAGATTTAAAAAAATAAATAATCTGGACGTGACACATATCGCGTGTCACTTAACGGTTTTTTAAAAAATCTGGACGTGACATGTGTCACTTAACGGTTTTTTAACGATAGACACCTAAAAGTGTAACGGAGAAAACTTTAAGCACCTATTTGTTATGAAAAAATCTTTAGGCACTAAAACGTTTTTCGTGACATTCTTTAAGCACTTATTTTTGTATTAAGCTTTCCTCAAATAAAGTCGCAATTTTTTGTTTAAATAATTTTGCATATGAAGTATTGGTTGATCCAAATAATAATTAGGTTCCCCTTGGATTACTCCCTGAACGGCAATCAAAACCTTTATAAAAAAAATTAATTATTAGAACGGATCAAAATTTATAATTTAGTTTCGAGCTAAAATTATCCAATCGGATACAAAGAATCTAAGTTTAACTAAAAAAAATTAGGTTAACTTACGCATTTAGTATTTAACTATCAGTTTATTTCATTTTAGTACTTAAACTTTTAATTTTCAAAATCACACTTAATATTTAGTTTTTGTTTTATTTTAGTAACTCACCGTTAAAAACTTAACTCGTTTAATACATAAACTATCAGTTTTGGTTCGTTTTAGTAACTAAACTTTCAATTTGTTTCAAAACTTAACGTTAAATTTTTTAAGGGTACTAAAATGAAACAAAAACTAGACGTTGGGTATAATTTTTTAAAAATAAAATAAAAGTCTAAGTACTAAAACAGATCAAAACTGATAATTTAGACACTAAATACGTAATTTACCCAAAAATAACGAGATAAATCAATTTTTATCTTTACACACATTATATTGCATACCATGCTAGTGTGGACCGACATACTGAAGTATTAAGGAGAAGTTTGAGGCCAATTTTAGATCTCCTCTCCATTTCGCAACATAAATGAAAGGTATGCGCCGAAAGTCTTTAAACCATGGCTTGATACAATCATTAGACAGATCATAGTTTGCTTTCTTCCACTACAACACGTGAAGCGAATAATAAACTAAAGACAAAAGATATCACCGTCACAGTGATCTGTCACGTCAGTATCATAACCCATCACGTTAATATCATGAATTATCATATCAATATCGTAATGATTAATGACGAAAAATGTTAATCAATATCATAATATTTATAAATTATCACGTTAAATTTAATGATCACACTGAGTTAAAAATAATATGAGAGCTTTTAAGTACAAGAACCCTAAACTAATCAACACATGTTATAGGTATAATTTCGACCCACCTGCTTAAAATTCTCACACTATTATTGCAACATTACCGTTAAGCTAGTACAATATAGCATTATATGTTAGACCAATGGAGCTCTGATTATTAATTAATAATAGAGGTAATTAAATCATATGCTCCCAAATTAAAACTCTTATTTTAATCTGGTCCTTAAACTTTTAAATATTTTAATTTCATCCTCAAACTATAACTCTCATTCTCAATTAGTCCTTAAACTTTTGATTGTTTTAGTTTCATCCCTAAATTATGACCATCATTCCAAAATAGTCCCCAAGCTTTTGAATTTTCCAATTTCATCCCTAAATTCATCCAAATATGTAATTTGTTCCAACATTGTTCAGACTAATTATTTTTCAAACATATAATAATATAACTTGGCATAACTATGTTATTAACAAGAGATGTGATTAATATATAAGTATAGTTTGGGATGAAACTGGAATGTTCAAAAAATTTGGAGTTCACAGTTTGCAGATAAATTTGAAATTTTCAAGAATTTGAGGATTGATTTAGAATGGTAGTAATAGTTTAGGGATAAAATTGGAATATTTAAAAGTTAAGAGACTAATTTAAAATAAGGGCCAAACTTTGAGGACATGTGATGCAATTAATTCTTAAATAATAAGGGTTAAGTACACAAGTGGTCCCCCAACTATAGGATACTACTTTATTAGGTCCCTCGACTATTAAAAGTTACAAAATGGGCACCCAACTATTCCTTATGTCCCAAACTCGTATTTTTCGCTAACAATTGTTGATATTCTAAGTGGAACGTTAACTCATTGATTGATATGATAAAATCTGATCCTAGAATCTCAAACGACTATCATATCACAATCATCATGTTAACATCCGGCTTAGAAAACTACCAACTTCTAACAGAAAATGACGAGTTTAGAACATAATGAACAATCAGATGATCATTTTGTATCTTTTAATAGTCGAGGAACTTGATAAAACAACATTCTATAGTCATGAGACTATTTTGTAACTTTTAATAGTAAATGAACTTAATAATACCGTACATTATAATCGGGGACCATTTGCGTACTTTACCCTAATAATAATTGCATGGATTATTTTATTGGAAAAACAGTGTCGGCTCGGCATGTTAGGTGGTGTCTTACGCTTGAAACAACAATCAATTCTGGAAAGCAATCTTTGCTTCTTAATCTGAATATAAAATCAAAATATTTTACTCTTTCTCTGTTGTTTTTATTCTTCTTCTGTTTCTTTACAATCTGCCTGTCAACCTCAACCATGTCCCATGGAAGTTCATAACAAGAAGAAGAAGAAGAAGAAGAAAAAAAGAACAGCTCCAAAATAATATAAACGAACACTCACTTTATATAATTTACAAATCGATGCATGTAGTTTACAAGTAACTCAACTTTGCCCCCCAAACTACGAAGAAAATGATGCAAATGTGTGTGAACGAAAATGGGGTTACTTACCCTTTCATTTCCCTTCCCTAAGAAGAAGAGAAAAGAGCTTTGCAACCTGGAAAATGCAATGGGAAAATGGACAGACTTTCGATTGTTGAGAACATCGAACCGTGTTGCCGCCGTCGATCGTTGCCGGAGTAGGTATTTTTTTTGGTGGCTAAGCAACTCTGATTGAGCATCCTACAATGATCAAGCACATGAAGTCTTGTACATGTCTATGATATGAAATTATGAATACATTGAACTGAAGATTATGATTTCCCGAGTGTTATCTGATGAATTCGACACTATATAGCGGCGTCTTCGATACTTCTTACTCGAAGTTCGACGCTCCTCAGATCACGAAGGTGTTGTAAAATCTGTTGAAGAAGACAGACCCCTTTATCTCCTTTGTTCAATGAGCTGGTGCAATGTTTTATGAACTCCCTGTCTGCCTCGAGTGCTTGTAATCTCTCGTACGCATCATCCACTTCTTCCTTGATAGGGAGCGTTTTGCTCTCGAGTTCGGGTGAGGAACGTCGAAGGGATACGGAATGGAAGCCGTTTTCAGGTCTGTTTGATGTCTTATCTTCGATGTCTGCATCGGAGGCGTCAAAATGTGGGACAAGTCTCTTTGCATTGGCAGCCATGGGGATCACTTTGTCTTCCTGATGTTTCCCATGCGCTCCCTTGAAATGACCATTGGCAACTCCATTCGTTTCGTGCCCAAAATCGGGACTCTGGTGGAAGCCGCTACCGTTCTCGTCGTAAAAGTACTCGAAATGCTGTTCTGCTTCTTCATCATTCAGTGAAACCAACTTCTCTTCCAAGACCTTGAGTTGCTCTAGAATGGATACCCTCTCTTCCTCGAAGCAAGCCAATGACTCCTCCAAATACAAGACTGCACTGGCAGGGGTGTTCCGGTTAACATCCTCTCGAATTCGATGCTTTTCGAAGCTATCTTCTCCCTTAGATTCATGATTCAAATCGATCGATACACCATCACTGTTCTCAGCATTGCAACAAGATGCTGAACTTGTGCTCTGAGTGCTGTCGTTTTTCCTTCTTCTCGGCGTCAACGTACTCTCTTTAGCCTCGTAATCCAGCACCTTCCTGCGATATATCTCGAGTTCCTTCTCGAGCTCCGCCTTCTCTTTTTCCCTCTTGACCATAAGTTCATTGAGAAGCTGCAAGGCTTCCTGATCATACTCGGACTGTTCTTCCATCATCCTCTGATACTGCAATGCTTCCATCTGCATTGCTGCTTTCTCTTCTTGAATCCTAGTTATCATCGCCATTGTTTGGCTCGTGGCCACCGCGGAAGCACTCCTCTCTTCTTCGAGCTCCGTATACAAAGCATTTAAGGCCTTCCTTTCCGTTTTTAATGCCGATTTCAACTTCTCAACAGTTAGTACCCCATCAGCACCCTCAATGTCACCGAAAACACTTCCATCAATAGAATCTTCCGTCCCGGAGTCTCTTCTGTCGAGCAACAGCAATTTCTTGTGCAACAGGTGGAAACTTTCGATCGAAGTCGGCATATCGGGAACTTTATCTTCCTCAATCTCATAAAGATCAGAAGATAATGAGAGATGGTTCTTCATTGCTTGGTCACTTGTCTCAACTGGTGCAGTTTTAAACTGGGTTGGTTCTTCCTCAGCATCATTGGAGCCTAATGCAACGAAACACAAGATTAACACATCAAAGAACAAAATATTAAAACTAAAACATTCCAAATATGAAATTAAGATTCACCATGATCTTCTTTTGTGCATTCATCCAAATTTTGCATTTGAATATCTTCATTTGGCTGATTTCTGCAGAAATTGCAGAAAATTGATGAACTGTTCAAACTGTTAATGACTCAACAATATGCTTTTGGTGAAATTTATACTAAATTGGATAAAAAAAAGTACCTTGATTAGTATCTACATTGATTTCCCCTTCCGTTGTTGCAGCATTTGCTTGAACATCATCATCATCATCTTCCTCCTCATTGGACTCCATTGATTCAACTACTGCAAGCTCTGCAATACTGGTTTCATTTTCATTCTCAGTCTCATTGGTCGAAAGGGGTGTTACTTCTTCAGCTGGACTGCAACTATTCTCCATAGCCAACTCGACCGGTGCCGGACTAAGCGAATCGAAGTCGAAAATAACATCTTCATTATCAGAAACACCTTGATCTTCCTCTCTGAAATCCGCATCAGAATTCATTAATTCAACTGGAATCAAATGACAATCATCCCCCTCGATGTAAAACTCCAGATGTTTGGCTAGAATCTCAGGAGGCTCCATTAACCCCTGGTTTTCCATTGACAAAATCAAGTCTCCTTCAACAGATTCTTGATCTTTCTCTATAGCCACATCATCTCCATCAGCAGCCACTTGATTGCAATCAAAGCTAGAAATGAAACACGAAAACTCATCTTTTTCCATTCCTCTCCCTTCATCGCCATCAGAAATGATGCCAACGCCCTTGTTTTCTTCAATCCTCTGTTCATCTTCTTGATCATCAGCCACAAAACCTGATCTGATTCCGTCTGAAGCATTACCTTTATCAACTTTTTCCCCAGATTCGGCAATGAAATTCCCTTCCTGGGGATTATCCAGAACCTCCCAAGAAGGCTTGATCATGAAATAAGGAAGATTCCACTTTTTCTCCAACACGACATCGCAATAAGAACACTTGAAATTCTCATCGCCATATTCCATCACTTCCGGCGACGACGAGGACAAGCAATCCCCGCACATATCTCGAGATTCAGACAGTCTCCGATGGTTCGAGCAAAAAACCAGTTTAGAAATCTGATTGGCATGATCATCACACACGAGATCTCTACAAGAATTTTTGTACTTTGACGGCTCGAAGACATGATTGAGCCTAGAACACCAAAGGCAGGGCCTTTTAAGACCAAAGTAATCAGCAAACTTGATGATCAGATAAGAAAACACAGAATTCAAAAGGAGCAGAACGATCAGAATCCATTCTAGCAAAACATAGACAAGAATAAAACCTATCCTGTTAGTGTTTTTATGCAACGTAGTTGCGAATTTGTTGGCAGCCATTAATGAAGCTCTGTGTTTTCTGCTATGTACAGAGAGATTTTAGAAGTTATCGAAATGGACAAAACAAGAAGAAGAAGAAAATGAAAGAGCTTAGCTTTCAATGAGAAAGAAAAAAAAAGGAAGAAGAAGGAAGAAGAAGAAGAAGAAGAAGAAGGAAGAAGAAGAAGAAGAAGAGGAGGAGGAAGAAACTAAGAGTCGGGAAAGTGGTATTTCAATAAAAGAGAGAGAAGAATCATTGAGCTTAGAGAAATGGGTATTATACTTTTGGACTTGGAAATTCATAACAGGTGGTTTGAACAGAAAAATGACAGCTAAAGAAGCCTGGAAAACTCAGGGAAAATAAATTCATAAACATTGATAAATGCAGTAGAAAAATTCCGTAGAAAAATAATGTTTTCGGTCAAATATTATCTAAAACATAACTTTTTACTAGATTTTTTAACCACGTTTATTTATATAGGTAATTAGAATCGATCAAAATAATAATATTTTTAATTTTTTTTTATTTATTTTGTTATTTAAAATAATAATAAAACCAATAAAATTTTATTTTAATCGTATATTAAGACACCGTACCGAAAAAAACTTTGAGTCACTGTAAAAAAAGTATTCCTCTTTTTTTTGTTTTTTGTTTTAATAATTTCAAAGAATCAAATCAGAAATTACTATATAAATATTATAATAATAACAATGTTTATGGTAAGAAAAAAGTGGTAAAATTTTCTTCGAATTTCAATGGAAAGGGACAACATTGTTGGCAGTGATAAAAATTATTGGATTACATAGGTCTAATTGAATTTATTTTTTGATTTAATATGAATGTTACGTTATTTGTCGGGAGACATTATAAACACAATGACTATAGTGCTTTATTTTTATGATAATCGTGACATTCTAATTACGTGAAAAATGAAGAAAAATTAAGATATCTTCAGCCCTCGTTTTTATTCTACAACATCTCTATCTCTACTTCAAAGATAAAACAGTAATTCATCTCCAGCATTATCTCTACACTACCACAAACTCTACTTTATTTACAATATTTAACTATTATAATATTTAACTTATATTTAATTTTTATTTAATTGTATAAAAATTACAATAAGAAAAACATAAAAGATAAAATAAGAGAAAATAATGCAACAAAGAAAAGAAAAAGAAAATAATAAAAGAAAGTAAAAAATAAAAAAAAAACTAAAAATCAGAAAAATAACAAAAAACTATAATATGTAGCGCAACTACAATGTAACATCAATTATAACGTGCAACTATAACTGTCGTCACAATCTAATATTAAAATGACGATGAACTAAAGTTAAAATTTATCTCTAAAGTAGATATTACAACTACTCCAGCAATGCGCAAAAAGTCCATACATGTACCAATGAGATGGTGGAGACCACTCTCAAAGTTAAATGTGGGCTCCATTTTAGGACATATTGCTAATTCATGTTAAATCTCAAATACTATGATTTTCATGCAAAATTCTTCAGATTAATGGCTTTGATAGAAATTAGTTCTATTAAAAAAATTAAAGTTTTTGTTATTTTATCAATAAAAAATGCATAAATAATTTGACGTCTTTAAAAAATTATAGAAAGATATGATATTTTTTTAATTTTATATAATGAAAATATTAAATCTAATAAAATAATAATTAATGAGATATTGAGTGGTTTAAACATCTTCCCAAATACATCAAATAACTTACGCACGTTGTAACAAATGCTTTATCTCATCAATTAAAATAAAATAGTCATAGCTATGGTCGATTTTATTTCAATGTTTTTTATATTTCAAAACTAAATTACATTGTTCCTCGCCGAGCTTTACTATCTCATATTTTATTCATCGTACTTTTAATTTTTTTAATTTGCTCAATGAACTTTAAATATCGAATCATTTGCTCAACCTGCCGTTAAGTTTTTTGACGATGTTATGACATGGCACAATCGTCAAAACGACGTCTTTTTGAAAAACACAAATATACACTAAAACGACGTCATTTCGAATAATTTTTTTTCTTCTATTTTCTCTCTACTTTGCAAATAAAGTGACCAGTTGCCGCCACTGGTCGCCGCGTCATTTTTCATTTCGGCCACCATCTACCATCATTGACGGCGGTCGTTCGGTCTCAAAATTCATGTGTTTGTTCGTCTCGACCTCCTGAGTCCGAATCTAGAGGTAGTTCCATCGGAAAATGTCCCAAAATCAGTGAATCTCAACCAAAACGTTCCGGCTTCCTCACTTTTAATCTTCAATTTGTGGACTTTAGAGCAAGTTTCAACAAAATGAAGGTTAGATTCAGACTCAAAGTGTTGAGGCGAAGCGACTCATGAAATTTAGGATCGAGCGACCACCATCTATGGCGGTCGACGATGGCATCCGACCAAATTCTGTTTTTATTTTATAATTGGGTGAGCAAATTATGAGAGAGGGTAAAGTTCAGTAAGGAACAATGTAATTTACCTTTTATATTTTCAATTATTTTATATTAAATAATAATAAAAGTGGCATGTCATCACAACATTAGAGAGATAATAATAGAGTGAGCAAAATGATTCAATCTGTAAAGTTTAATGAGCAAATTATAAAAATTGAAAGTAAGATAAGTAAAATAGGAGAGGAAATAAAATTTAGTGATGAATTGTGTAATTTACCCCTTTTTGACCAAAAGGCATTAAGAAATGATCCCTCAAAGGGGTGAAAATATCTAGTAAACGCTAAAATATTGCAATAAAAATTATATTGGCCCTATGTTGAAAGCATCAATTCTTAGGTCATTTTATTTTCCCCATAATTAATGGTATCTCTCTTTTAATCGACTAATTCATATCAAATTGAATAAATTTTTATACAAGTGTGATCATTTCAACCTAATTTTCTTAATCTACAATATCAAATTTTGAAGTGCCAATCGAATTTAAAGGACTTAATATCACATCTTACTAAATTAATTCACAATTAATTAGACCATTCAGATTTTATAAAACAATATATATATATATATATATATATATATATATATATGAAAAGAAATCAGTCTTGCTTTCTGCATTAAACCCTCCATTTAAATATCAAAGATTTATTTGTTTTGTTTGGATGGAGGGTGGAAGGAGATTTTCATTATCCATAAATATGCTTTTATTATTATTGAAACTCAAGAAGATAAAAATGGTTTAATTGTGGGCTTAGTCCTTTTACTACTCTTGAATTTGACATAATTTAAAATTTCATAATGTTATCAAATAATTCAAATAGTTAACATCGTTAACCATTCAGTTGAAATAATGATAATTTCTCAAAACATCACCCCTTTTAAATAAAATTTTATATCAACATTTTAATTTAAATAATTAACATTGTTAACTATCTTTATTAAATATCAACAATCATACGGTTTAGTGGTATGCGATACAAAATCTTTAAACAAAGTTAGGGTTCGAATTCTGACGTTTGTGAATAGAATAACATAGGTTAAGACCTCATATTGGATCTCTACAGTATTCGATTTGAATCAATCCATTAATAGATCGGATATCGATAGTTATAAAAACTATCTTGAATTAATTAGTGGCATTTAAGATCAACAAATGCATCAATAACTTTTGCAAGCGGAGGGTCTTCTTTCATGCTTAACCTAATCACAATCATTAATTGATTGTCCCTTGTTCTCATATGTAATGGGGTAAGGGGGAGGTAAGATAGTAGGCTGCCCCCAACACCAGGTTGAGAGCAGCTTCCGTAGAAGACTTCCGAATTATGAAATGCCCTCCGTGGGACTCGATCCCACGACCTCAAAGTTAAGAACCTTGTGCTCTACCAACTGAGCTGGATAGGAATAATTCAACTCAATTTTAGAAAAAAAAGGATGCATATGTTAAATAGGATTATAATGCTTAATTGTTGCTTAATGGGGGAAATTGAGCAAATTGAAGGAACTGTAGGGGCCTAAAAGCAATATTACTTAAACTAGATTGTAGATTTCAGTTGAGATAAGCATCAGCTATTGTTGAACTGTCTGAATCAAATTGCTATCTCCATGTACAGAAATATTGCATCTCTCCACCACAATTTAATTGATTAGATTAAATAAATTTAGGGTAAGTAAAACTCGACTCAATTTAAAAAATTATTTTTTATTAAATTTGATGTTAAAAGAAATTGATTAAGCTAGACTCAATCGATAATTTTATAAATTCTAAAAAAAATTAAATAAAGTTTGAGTTATAAAATAAGACTCGAAAACTCAAACATTTTTATAATTAGTTGATTGGTTTTCAAGTTTGAGTCGAGTCTTTAAACTATGCATAATATATATATATAGGGGTATGATTTGCTTACACCATGTAAAACTAATAAGTTTTATACTAATTTATAGTCATTAAATTTAAATAGATAAATGAATTAGATTTAATTAAAATTTATAATCTATAAATACATATATTTTTAACTCATATTAAACAATAGCTCTTTTCTCCCTATCTCAAATCTCAAACCCCTAAACTTAAACCCCAAAATATAAACCTTAAATTATAAACTCTAAACCTAAAACCCTTATCTCAAATACTAAACCCAAACCCCAAATTATAAACAATAAATTCTAAAATCTAAACCCTAATCTCAAATCCTAAACCCAAACCCCAAACTATAAATCCTAAATTATAAACATAAAATCTAAATCTTAAATCCTAAATCTTAAACCCAACCCTGAAAGATATTATTTTATTATGAGTAAAATTTTATTTATTAATTATAAGTTTTAATTAAATCTAAGTCATTTATTTATTTAAATCTAATAACTATAAATTGATATAAAACTTATTAGTTTTACGTAGTGTAACCCCCATTCTCTCTCTCTATATATATATCGAAAACTATTTAAATTAGAAAGCAAACATACTAAAAGTTTATATATATATATAAATAGAAAGCTATTTAAATTAGAAAGCAAACACACTAAAAGTTTTGTAACCGTTTATAAACTCTACTCGAATTTAACAAACTCGATTAGATTTGAAAAATTTTCAAATAAAATTCGAATGATAAAATAAAATTCGTCAACTCAACTATATTTATTCGACTTGACTTGATCAAATATCCATCCTATGCCCATGAGCATTCTAGGAGAAGTACAAATGTCAATAGTAAAGAACCCAAAAAGAAAAGAGGAGGGAATTAAACAGGTGATTGATTGCAATGAGGTGAGTCGAGGTGCTTTTAGAAGATGTGGGACATAAAGGAAACTCCTTTATGCAACCAACTTGAGTAGCTCCCTCAAAAGCTTTTGCACATGCTCTGTATCAACTTGAAGGTGTTCTAAGACTACTAATGATGGATGCATGACCGGAAAGAATGAGCTTTGAGATACCTTCCATGTTACCTATGGAACATGTCTAATTACGATTAAGCGAGATTTTAATCGATCGTGAACTCGAACACGATACTGAAAAGAATGAGCTGATTGCCATGTATGAAAAAAGACCAGACAGAGATCCGGACGCAACAATTTTATGAGGCTAATGGTTTCACAATTAAAGGAATAAACTATGAAGAAATCATCAATGGCAGAACTCATATGCAAAATTTCAATATACAGAAGTCATTGGAATAAATTACTTGTAATAAAATACATGTAATTTGCAGTAAAGCCAGCTGATATGCACGGTTTCCCTCATCCTTGGGCTTCTTTAAGACGAGAGCCTGTGTTGTGAGACTATACTCCTATATCCCATGTTAAAAACACTTTGTTCATCTTTTTCTGTTTTCCCCTTCTTTCGAGCTCGAAACTCAGAATCGAAAAGCTCGTAACGGAGGAAAGAAAGTATCTAAAAGCGATGTCATTAGACTGGGAACTGATAGACAGATACAGTTTATTCCAGTCCGAAGTATCTATGTTGGTAAGGCCAATGCTGTAAGGCACACATGGCCTCGCGATAGTTTTCCCGATATATGCTTACAGTACTTGTCTGCATCCTGATATAGTGCCCGTATCACAGCATCGGACTTGCTGGCCATTGCTTTCTCATTCTGATGATCGCCAAACATAAAAAATGATAATCAGGTCAGGTCTTAAATGACTCGAAATGTTTCCCTTTTGTAGCATAGTAAGTACCTTGTTCCTAAAGCAATTGACGGTTTCCCTCAAAGGGTCAAGAGTATCTAAGTTTACAGTGCGTTCTTTCCATTCATCGGAAAGCCTTTGAAGTATACGAACACTCGATTCTAGGTTGTCGGAATAAACCTCGTCCTGTTTGCACCAAGCAAATGCTGTGGATCGGTAAGAAGATAAAGCCTTTTTATAAACTAAAACAGCTTATAGCTCTCACCCACTGCTTGTAGCATTCAGGGTTCTGGTTCAAACACCATATGACTACTCCAGTGGCTTCTTTCGATAACTCGGGAGAGCTGTTTAGATAAGAGATAAAGCTCAAGCATTCACATCGACAAAATGGAGCCGAGATGAGAGGGGAGAAGAGCGCAAAAAATACTTTCTCCGGCTGCTTTGACAACAGAGCTGAACATCTGCAAAGACATTTGTCTCATTGCTTTGCTTCCATGAACACCAGTGAGAGCCACTTCCTTGATGGTCGGATATATGGCCTCAAACCTTTCTGTCGCCTTCATCAATAACATACAACTTAGAAGAACGCTAGAACCGAGAAACTATAATGATATAACATCTAAGCACCGAGATGGCTTTCGTGCAAATAAACTCTTAACATACCTTCACTCTAGATGATGCAGCAGGGAAGGTCGCTCGCATTAGTATCTCGAATGATGCTGGTGGAACCAAACGTTCTCCTTTTCTAACAGCAGCGTTTACTAAAATCGACCGAACCTTTGTGACAGATAAGATCCTTCACCAAGGAAAACAGTTCAATAAAGCTTATGAATTCGAAACTCGATAACGCACACACTATAGAAGCCATAATACCATTCAACTAGCTGTAAAATTAGATCTCTGGACTGTGGATTACAGTTTTTGCCACCAAGTATAGGCAAGAGGTGATGTGCCCACATGTACAGCCCCACAGGAAGATCTCTTTTGGATGCCTAGACAGAACAATGTTGACGTATGGAACAAGATGCATATCAAACGGGAAAGAGTACGAGTTCGTAAAACACCTTCGGAACTCGTATTCCAGATGGAATTACATCGTTTCTCCATCTACTTACCTGAACTATCATCCATACGAAAACGGGGAGCTTATCTTGTCCTTGATATTTGGGATGCTCTCTCAGCTTTGGCAACACACTAATTAAAGCATCAGGTTTACGCCGCAATACCTTTGCTAATGCCACAAATATACCGACCTGCAAAACATCCCATGTGATACCTCAAAAGCAACAGGTGAACAACGACAGAAAATAACCGGTTCGACGGTAAACTGCCGATATATCTTACCTTGGACTTTGCCGATGTCTGTTGCACACCTTTCTTGGAGCTCTTAGCACTTGCTTGTTGGGCAGCCAACTCCTCAAGAATGATGTCTAAAGACCATAAGACGAAGAAACCAAGTACCTCGAGGGATTGTTGGCTAATCCAATCAACAGATGTCTTATAAAAAGCATCAGAGATATGTGAAAGTGGTATCTGTTAATGTACAAATTAGCAGAGAAGATATCACAAAGAATAAACGCTAGTGCATGTCGAAAACACGTATTTGCACGACCACGAACCGGACTGGTAAAAGCATGTATAATAGCACGTTAATCCAATCAAATTAACAACAAATCAGGCATTGCTAAAAGTTTTCAATTTGACCTAATAAAGAAACTCACATCAACAAGCTTGGCGACGGTGCTTTCCCTGAACATCTTCAACCAAGGGAACTGCCCCGATACCACTTGCTGGAATGCCTTACCATAGAAATCTGCAAACTTTTGCACTTGGATTTCTTCCTGTTCGCTACTCAGTTCCTAATTCACCAAACAAATGAAGAAATAGATAAACGGATAATATTTGATTGGACACCATTTCACCATTCTTTTTACAGCCTTCATAAAGCAACAGCACGTAAGAGTGTTCATTTTTACAGTTTTAATCGAATTAATCGATCGAATCGAATTAATTAATTTAATTTGATTATCACCAAATTAATTCAATCAGAGAACGGATAATATTTTTTTATATTTGATTATCGATTAATTCGATTCAAAATCGATTAATTAATCAAATTATTTGAAATTATTAAATATTAAATATATTATATATTAAATACATTTTTAAGCTCGAATTCATTAAGATTTAAAGTTCAATTATTTTTTAACCACTAGACTCATTAAATTACTAATACATAATTAAATTTTAATCCAAATAAAAAAATATTTCTATTATATTTAAATTAATCTAATTAAAAATATTAAAAAAATAGTTAATTCGATTGACCGAATGAAATAACTGAACTTTCTTCGGTCGGTTAATATTTTCAAAAAATAGTTCATTTCGATTAACGGATAAAGAAAAATATTTGTTTAATTCGGTTAATAGAAATTCAGTTCAGCCGAATTAACCGTTTGAACACCCCTAAAAACATGGCTCTCTCGCCTTGCACTTCGAGGATCAGAGATGGATAGAGAGGTGTTAGGATACGGTCACACTTTTTAGAAATTTTAAGTTCTTTTATATTTCATTTTTTATTTATATTTTTTTATTAATTATCTAGTTTTGCCTCATAGATTTTTATAATTTCACACTCCTTAAAAATAGTTAATATAACTTATTAGTTTATTTATAACATGAACTTTTTATTTTATTTACCTTATTAATTTATAAATAATCATATCATAATTTTATATATTGCATTTGATAATTAATTGTATCAATAGAGTCTATTTATCTTATTAACTTATAAATTATCATATTATTATAAATCTCTAGATAAAGATAAATAAATAAATAAAATCTTGATAATTTTAGTCGTATTTATTTATTTATTTATTTATCGTTTTTAGTCTTAAGGTTATACCGCAAAACAATCCCTACTAAATTAAAGTTAAAACGAGAAATATGTAATGGAAGATGAAAACGTAGCAGGTGTCGGTGAAGTGACGTCGTCGTCGGCACTCCTCCGCGACAATGAGTGAACGGCCTCGTCCACCACCAAAACGTGGTGGTCTGGTGATGGACCCCACCCCGGACGGGAATCTCAACACGTGTAGGCATCACATGGCGAACGGGACCCACAAATCAGGAATAGTTTACTCCAAGTACTGATTCACCGTCAAAACGTATTGTTTCCACACGTGTAATCTTCCCCCTACTGAAAAATTAGGAGGCATTTAGTTAGATGGAATCCTTTTAAATTGGTAGGAATTAGAATTCAATTCCATTATTTTTCCTTGTTTAATTCAAATTTTTCAAGGGAATTAGAATCTCTGATGAAATTCAATTCCATCAAATGAGGGAAAGTAAATTCCATTCAAAAATGGATTGAATTCAATTCTATTAAACGAGGAAAAGTAAATTCCATCCAAAAATGGATGAAATTCAATTCTCTTGTTGGAGGGAATTGAAATTTAACCATACTACTCTCATCAATCATTTGGTAACTTATTCATATATTGAATAAAAATATTTTTTTATTATTTCGGGTCGGGTCAAGTTTCTAATTTATATATTATGGTCGGGTCGGGTGAAATTTTATTTTGGTCGGGTCGGATCGGGTTTTTTTAAGTGTGATATTCGGGTCGGGTCGGGTTCGAGTTTAGGGTGAAAAAAACCGGACCGACCCAAAAATATATATAATTCAGGTCGGGTCGGGTTGGATTTCTAATTCATATATTCGAGTCGGGTCGGATGAAACTTTATTTTGTTCGGGTCGGGTTTTTTTAGTGTGATATTCGGGTCGAGTCGGGTCGGTTTTTTTAAGTGTGATATTCATGTCGGGTTCGGGTTTAGGGTGAAAAAATCCGGACCGACCCGAAAATATATATAATTCGAGTCGGGTCGGATTAAGTCACTGTTTTTATTAAATAAAAATAATTTTTTATTATTTCGGGTTTGGTCGGATTTCTAATTCATATATTTGGGTCGGGTCGGATGCAACTTTATTTTGTTCGGGTCGGGTCGGGTTTTTTAAGTGTGATATTCGGGTCGGGTTTTTTAAAGTATGATATTCGGGTCAGGTCGGGTCTGGTTTAGGGTAAAAAAAGGGACCGACATGAAAAAAATATAATTTTACCTTATATATTTATGAATAATTACAATAATACACCTCTATATATAATTTTTTCAATTAAGTCAATGTGTTTATTGAATAAAAATAATTTTTTAATTATTTTGAGTCGTGTCGGGTCGAGTTTCTAATTCATATATTGAATAAAAATAGTTTTTGATATATTTTTTGGTAACTAATTAACATACTCCGATTGGAATGTATCAAAATATTGCTCTATCTTTTGGTAACTTATTAACATATTTTGATTGCGATGATTTTAACTTATAATGTTTATTAGCTTTATTTTTATAATTTATTGAAATGAATAATCAATTAATAAAATAAAATATTAATATTTTTTTAATTTTTTATAATATATTAATAGATGTAAGTTGTAAAATAAACTAAAATAAAGTAAAAAAAAGGACAATTTTGTCATTTTACATTACTGAAATCAAATTCATCTGACATGTCTGCGAACCAAACAGAATATGAAATTGGATTCTAATTCCATTTCCTGCCAACCAAACAGAATATGAAATTAGATTTCAATTCCTACAGATTCTAATTCCTTTACAGATTCCAATTCCCTCATAAATATTCCAGCAAATCAAACGTCACCTTACAATATTTCAGATTCCATAGCTGTAAACGGAATAAATAAAGGGTAAATTACAAATGTTATCACTAAACTTTATTCTCTCTCCTATTTTTCTCACTTAACTTTAATTTTTTAAAATTTTCTCACTGAACTAAATATATTAAAGTTTTTCTTGTCACTGAATTTTACTTTTTCTCTTATTTTGATTTATCTGTAGTTAAATAATTAACGACATTAAAAATGATGGTGTTTTAAAAAAACAAAAAAATTACCAAAACGATATCATTTTACATCTATATAACAATATATTTTAACGTCATTGATTGTTTAACGACTTAGTGATAATAAAACTAAATGTATTAAATTCAGTAAAGAAAATTAAAAAAATTTAAGTATACTGAATGAAATATAAGATATTACAAATTTGTAATTTACCCGTAAATAAATGGGGCTACCTACCTAACGCCGTTAAGATCGGGAAAGAGATTGGTCATCTCTTTCCGTTAACTACAACGGGGGTTCGACGGTGGGGAAAGCGAGGCCGTCTTACGGTGACGGCGGGGCCGTCTTTGTCGAGTAATCTCCCTCATGTAGGGCAGGCAGAAAACTGACATTTGATTATTCATGTCAACCTATGGTCTGTTGACGCCGTTATTAATATTTTTTTCTCAATTTAATTTACTAATAATTTCCCTTTTATTAAAATTTAATCATACAAAATGGCTATCGGTAAACTACTTGATTGCCACGTGTTCAAAAATTCAAATATAATTAATATTTTTCTTATTGAGTTAAAAGTAAATATATAAAAGCATAATTCAAGTGGATGAGTATTTGGAGATTATGTAATTAGTTATCAATTGGGTTGGTTCAAGGAGTAAGCAGCTTTACATCGCTTAAGTAATATCTTAAGCTTAGTCATTGTGTATATAGATAGAAAATATCTATTAGAAGACTCACCCATTAAAATCAGATGTACGATCTAGGTCAATCCAGATTAGTCAAGATGAAGACTTGATTATTGTGATATCACATCTTAAAAATACATATTTGATACGGCGTTGAAAATTAACATCTTTTAACTTTATATTTTTTTTATTTATTTGTAATATGAGATTAATATTTCATCATTCTTTCTAAAATATGATGAAGAATTAATAACATAATTTAAATTAACAATTTCCTTTCGAATTAACAACTGATATCCATTTTATTAATTGACTAATTCATATTGGGTTTTGCAGATGCCTATTAAGAGGACAATCATCTCATTTCAGTTTGTTTAATATGCAATTGTCAGGATTCGAACTCTTACTATTACTTAATAAATCTTTTGTATCATCTCATTAAATCAACTGGTTGCTCGTTAGATTACTCTAACAAAAATAAATAAATAAAATGTTTTTTTTCTGAATTAGATATCGGGTAAAGCAAGTTAGCAGCACATCCCCACGTTGCTGCCATCATGCATGAACCAACTAAAAAAACGTGTTTTACACTACAGCAAAATTGTTCTGTAGCAGCGTTTTTAGCGGCGTTTGGAGAGTAAACGCCACAAAATTTAAGCATATAGTGGCGTTTATAATCCAAACGCCACAAAACGATACTTTAGCGGCGTTTCTTAAACAAACGTCGCTATAGAGTAGTACTTTAGCGGTGTTTTTATACAAACACCGTAATAGGGATCGTTTATAGTGGCGTTTTTTTCAACAAACGCCGTGATAGATTAGTACTTTAGCAGTGTTTTTATACAAACGTTGCAATAGGGTTTGTTCATAGTGGCGTTTTTCCAACAAATGTCGCAATAAAGAGTAATTTAGTAGCGTTTTTATACAAATGCCGTAATAGGGTTCTTTAGCGACGTTTATGCAAAAAAATGTCGCGACGACGTAGTACTTTAGCGGCGTTTTTCTACAAACGCCGCTACAAACACTACACAAAGTGAAACAATAGAGCCGTTTTCAAAATAAACACCATAATAAATCAGTGAATTAGCAGCGTTTTTAAATACAAACGTCACAAAATAGTAACATTAGCGACGTTTTTAAAAAAACGTCGCAAGAAATCAGTGCATTAGTGGCGTTTTTAAACAAACGCCGCAATAAGTTTTGGATATTTTATCATCAAAGGTTTCCCCGTTTACCCAACAATAGCTACGAAAGGGGGATTTCTATCGGATACTTCTTTTTCCCCTCTCTAATTTCTCATTCACTTCTTTGTTTTGTTTCTCTTTAAATTTAAAAATTTATGGGCTTGCTTTAAAATCTTCA